TCCTATTTGTGAGCAAAACCCTTTCTGTTTGCCACTTTGTGTTAAACTACATCCCAAGGACTAGACCTTGCACGGTTTCCGGTCCTGATCATGCGCTGTGCATTGGTTGTGCCAGACTATACTCTCAAGCGGGTTTACCAGGTCATTGCATGGAGCCTTCGCGCTTCACATCTTCAATCAAACCCAACTTGTGATATATATTTTTCAAGATAGCGTTGTGTTTAAACAATGGGCCCAACCTAGTGGTGTCCACTGGTGTCACCCTGTCGCAGCCTAGGTTTTAGCTTCTGGCATCCACCCCACGGAGGATTTTGAGGGCAATCCTTTGCCTGCTTTGAACTCGAAAAATGCTGGGAAGCCAATAGCAGGCGCAGTACTGTGAGCAATATGACCATCTGCATGTTGGGTTTTTGGCACGCAACCCCTGTGTTCAAAACAACACAAGATGGGGCCCCCCTGCCGAGCCATTCGCTGCATTCCTCAGGCGGAATTGCATTTTGCATCGAATACCGCGGGGACTGGAAATGGCAGAGGGAAGCCTTTGCACTTTCCTGCCACTGGGGTGCTTCAAACTTCTGCCACCAGTGCAATGCAAAAAGAGCAGGGTATCCTCTGGGCAGGTCTCTTGTCTGTTGCCTGAAGCCAACAGTGTCTGCCCACATGGCCACATGGTGTATGTAGTTTCTGCCCTCCCTTGTTTGTTGGGTTGGGTTACCTCACTTCAGCCTTTCAGGTGGACACGATTTGGGAGAACATTTGCACGGAGAAGCACCAGCAACGCCATTGCAAATTGTTTCAGGCCAGAGTGAACAAACGTACAGTTATTGTTAAATTTGTTTTGGCCAGAGCCATAAGTATTGAACTGATATCGATCATGTCTATGGTCCCCACAGGTACCATCATCCTTTGCTATCCGCCCCTGCATTTTCACCTAGCCTGATAAGATGGTGTTCGATGCATACAGTTAATTTGGGAATACTACAGAATTTCCTTGGAAGCTGCGTGAGTCTTCTCATGGAGCATCGAACTTTCGTACTTCATTATTCAACACATTTTTCTAGTATTGGCGCCCAGAATGTGTCCTGCAGTAATCTCCTCATGGCCCACAATAAGTTTGATTTGGGATGGTCGCCCAGGATTCTTTGGGGATGGAAATTCAGATGACTGCTTCCGTGAAATGTCGGCACGGTTTCGATTATGGGCGAGAGTGAACCAGCATCAGTATCTAGCTCGAGGATTACTAACAAATTTTGTATTTCGTGTGGGAGCTGCTATGGAAGTTTAAGGGGTGTCTTCTTGTCTGGAAATCTGCTCAGGCATTCACAGGGCTTCATGCACCCTGGGCTGTTGAACACAGCAGATGGGTATCCAACACTATGTGTTAAGGCATTCAATGGTCGCCTCCTTCTTATCTTCGTGGACTCGTGCCTCCACAGCTTGGAAGACTTGACCCGAACTGCCGAGATCGTTAATGCTTGTGTTGCGGCTCGGGCTTTGCGCTCTTGGTTTGATTTGGTGGAACGCTCACCACGATTCCTTGACCGGGACGCCCAAGTGGAGCTACATGGGCTTGCAATGAAGTTTGTGTTCGTGCTGGAGCGGCTGGCTGTCGTAGCGCTTCGTGCCAACAAGAGTCGGTGGCGCTTGCAGCCAAAACTACACGCGTTCATACACATTGCCGAGGACCACTTGCGGCATGGAATTAATTGTCGGTTTTACCATTGCTTTTGCGATGAAGACCACATAGGTCTTAGTAAGCGTTTGTGTCAAAAAGTCCATAGAGGTGATCTCATGGAACTTAGGGTTCTTTGCAGGTGGCTACTGCGATTAGCCACTTGGGACCCAGTGGGTGGGACATGAACATAGATCATGAAGATTAAATACCAACATGGCCACCGGTATCCACCGATCTCGCCCACTGTGTGTGCAGCCAAGAGTCAGCCGAGTGTGCAAAGATGCGTGGAGGCTTGATAAAAGGCAGCGGTTGGGTCTGGATTGATGTGGGCTGGGCGAAAGAACGATGTCGAAATTCATCGGACATTCCTTCGAGAATCGGTTACTAGAAATGACCACCAAAACTGCGGTTAGACTACGCTATTTGCGGTCGTACGGTCTGAGAGCAGTCATCTGGAAATGACTGCATATAGACCAGCCTTTGGAGCCTCTGGGTTAGTTTGACAACAATTTGAATCTGATCACAAGAGTAAGGCACATGGGAGGGACACCCACTAAGGCTACTCTAGAATAGAGAAATCATGGCAGCTAGGTGTAGCATGGTGTAGCTAGAGTGAGAAGTGACGTGTCTACGTTAATGACATCGCAAGAGTTAAACAAAATAATAGACAACGAGAACCCTGTGGATGGACCTACCATCCTGTACCACAAGGACCCCAATGACTGACGACAGTGCGCTGCGTGTGTGCGTGTGTGTGCGTGCGTGCGTGCGTGCGTGTGTGTGTGTGTCAACTCCTGTCCCTAAGGAATTTGACCACACTAAGGAGCTTTTTAATCAATTGTACAGTTTCCCAGCAGGGGTTCAGGCAATTGTGAGTGGTCCCTCGACCAATGAAAACGGACGCACAGCTGGTGAAGCGAGAAGGGACGCCTTCTTGTGTACCTGCGGGAACTTTTAATCCTTTCTAAAGTGCTACTGCGTTTTGTTGAAGCCTTCTGTTGAACTGATCCAGCACTTCTTGCTACTGCGTTTTGTTGAAGCCTTCTGTTGAACTGACCCAGCACTTCTTGCCGTTCCCTCAAGTCAAGCGCTAACTATTCCATCTAAAGGGCTACTGCACGCGAGTTCGAAACTGATACAGCTCTTGCGAGCCATGATCTAAGTGTGCTTCGCAGCATCGTCCTGTCCCTCTGTGGTGTGCTGTGCAATCCCCGTCGAGGGGCGCGTTGAGCATAGACCCTTAAGGGGGCAAGTTCCACAGAATTGTCGATCTTGCTTGAGATTGCTGATCGAATGCCGCAGGGCCCCTGACTCATCCAAAGAATGACATGCCCTGCGGCTAAGTATTCATAGGAATCACGTCATGCAGCTAAGTAGTCATAGGACGTGCTTGATGTTTTGTTTTTCTTCTTTCGGCTTTCTTCGTTTTCTAGGTCTTTCTTCGTTGCTAAAGGCTTTTCAGGTGTAGCACAGGCCTTTTCAGTCAAGGGAGCGCCGATTTTGGCTTCCTGGCCAGTGCCTTTGTACCCGTGCCTTTCAACAACCCCCGCCTGGCACCCCTGCACCTTTCCTTCTTTCCTTGCCTGCTGGTGAGGCGAGAAGGGACGCCTTCTTGTGTACCTGCAAGAACTAAAGGGCTACTGCACGGGAGTTCGAAACTGATACAGCTCTTGGGAGCCATGATCTAAGTATTAAGTGTGTGCGTGTTGTGCAGGACAACACGTCCATGTTGAGTTGGGGCCGATCCCTGATCTCTTCAAATTTCTCTGATCCAAAGTCTCAAATGGCCACTTTGACAATTCCATCACTGTTCAGATCCTCAAAGAGCAAAGAACCGAACAAGTCCGAACAAGACTGCTGTTCTCGCGCCATAGCAGCCAACCCCCCCCCAAAACGTCGCAACGACCATCACCAACAGTCGCAACGCGGTCTGAGCGTCTCCGTGAGCCAACGTATGATGTAGACCGCGTATTCATGCACCGCCACCACCGAGGCTGGAAACTGCATGATGACCGCGACGAAGTCCGGCACTGCGACGGAAAGCCTGGGATTGGGGATGAATCGGGGGGGAGTGCGGGAATCCCGCAACGTCCTTCCAGTTGTTTCTTTACACATGTCACCTTGAACCTGCCATGCTGTCCTTTAAGCCTAACAATGGGAAACCACCTTCCAACCAATCTTGTGAGCTCCAAATGACACTTTGGAGTAGGTCCTGGCAGTGAGGCAGCAGGAATGGGACATGCCACAATAAAGGCAGGCTTCAGCAATCCAAACGTTGTTCAAGAGTTGCAGCCCACCCAAATCCTTCAGCTCTTCACCTGCTTTCACGGAAAAGTGCTGTGCCGATTTTCGGCTCGCCAACTTCACCAGGGCTTGGGATTGAGGCTGAGTGCCTCTCGACGTGGCCGATTTTCCATTCGGAGGCTGGTGTAGGTGAAAAGCACCGCTCTGGGTGATGCAAAGGCCTTCTGCACGCTCTCCTGCTTGAAAAGCACTCTCCCCTTGAACTACATGCTTCACTTTGAAGATCGAGCTCAAATCGCCAGAGATCCCCAACTTCGGGTCCATCAACATGTTGAAAAGGTGATGGCTCGAGAGTTTTTCACTCATTTTCAGGATCCGTAGCTCTTCCAGCAGAGTGCTGGGCAGAAACTTCAGCGCCATCGGCTCCTTCACGTCGAGCGGGGAATCCTTGGATGTTAGAACATCGTTGAGCGATGCCAAGATCCGTCTAGACAAGACCTCTGCTGCCTCAGTCTTGCGAAGCCATCTCTGAAGATCGCGTCGCAGCGTGTCCTCAGATCCCATGGTCCAAATAAAAAACACCAATTCTATGGCCGATCGTCTACATCCTGGCTGAACACTTACTTCACCTGCGTCTATCCCATGATCCAACATGGAACAAATCGGGGTGGGAATGGCGACGGAACGCTCGCAATGAGCAACACCCGGCCAAAATGCTAGCTGCTAGCGTTCACAGGACTGCCCAAGTGATCCTGTTCTGTCATGAAAAGCATGGATTCAGCATGGCTCCCATATGGCTGTGGGTCACAATCCTGTAGATTGGTGCGCAGCATCAAATGCCTGAGGTCACTGTAGATTCAAGTTTGTCCACCAAACATTGGCTCAATAGGTTGTGTCCAACAACCACATTGGATAGATTGGTGCAAGCCAACGTGGACGATGCGATTATATATAGATAGATCCGAGTCTCCCGCTCCCGAGCCTTCTCATTGAGCAGATTCACGGTACCACTCACCTTCCCAATCTCCTGGCGAATGTGGAGAAATCAATAGAACAGTCAGAGTTGATTGCACATAAAAAACCACTGAATCCAAGCCGAAGCCTCGAACATGCTCAAGCAAGCTATCACGTCCCACCCCACCGACGTAGCGACCACCAGATCGTTTCGTTTCGACCTGCCTCTGCTACAAACTAGGGAGGGTGGGGCAAGCGTGAAAAAAACATGACTGTGAAAAAACCGTCTATACATATGTCCAATGGAGCTTCTACGGGTTAAGGAAAATGAGCGACAATGCCCTGCACAATGCTTTTGGTTTGAGACGCTAAATGCATGATGTTCTTACAGGTCTTGTTCCGCCACCAAGTCGAATATCGAAGTCAAGGCGCTGATCCGAGCAATGGCAAGCAAGTAAGAATGATGCCCACCACGAAGACTTGCTCCCGAAAATTTTGAGGTTGCAAAGGGAAAGGAGCAGGTGTATACTGTGCGATCACCCAATTGAAGGTCAAGAAATACTGAAAACCAAGGCTATAGCTATCGTCTCCAATGTTGTATGTCTGGATCCAATTAGGCTCAGCGTTTCTTGCTTCCCATGTCCCTAGCCAGAAGAAGAAACAGGTAAGGACATGGTTCACTGCCAGGATCTGAACGATGCACCGGAAGATCGTCAAGTAGAGCACCAACTTGATATTTCCACGGGCAGCCAAATGGTTCTCGATGAAAATCAGGCCCCTCTTGACCTCAAAGGACCGCAATCGATTTTGGCACATCGACTGATTTCAGCCTGAACAGTCCTTTGGATCTCCCGGTTTTTTTTTTCAGCGTAGACAGTGCAAACCTAGCGGCGCACCTAACTTAACAAGTTTCAAGGGATGCTTCGGAAAAGGTCAAACGTTTTGTGACATTGTGTGCTAAAGAGCACCGGTTCGTTACAATAGGAACGAAGCAGGCTTCGGCCGGTCGACAGTTGCATTTTTTGGAACCACGCCACCGACTAGATGGGTGGGGGATCCTAGGTTTGCTAGACACATTGCTGGATACAGTCAGCAAAGGATGTAAAGGATAATCCCTTTGCAAGCTGCCTTAGTAATCCGCACCAAGATCAGCAGTTGAAGGAGTCGCCATTCCTCGTTCAGGCCGATGAACATCAGAATATCCACATAGACCAGTCCCACGTCAAAGGGAAGCCTCGCCCAAGCGCTAAGACATGCCAATAATGATACGGCCAACAGATCCCAAAAGGCGAATGGCTATTAAATGTTGTTATATTACATGTTTTCCACTGCGCTACACTGCCATGCTCTCTCCTTGGATTTGAGGGTCACAAAAGTCCACGACGCCAGGGGTTCTAAGTCTACAAGGTTGTCTGTGCCAGCTACTGGTAACAAGAAGCTACTAGTAGCTCCTGCCCTTACTACTAGTAACAAGAAGCTAGTAGTAGCTCCTGGCCTTACTACTAGTAACAAGAAGCTA